GAGCTAGTTAGTCAGGCTACAACGTCCAACAATTTGAAGTCCGTAGACCCAATACTCGTGGAGAAAATGGGACATAAGCAAGAATATTTTGCCCGAGTTTGTTTCTGTGTGTAAATTGCCATAGAGTAGGCTGTCAGCGGGGCTTCACTCCGTGGTTTGTTTACATGCTATATCTCGTCTTGACAGTATCTTGTTATGAAAAATTCCTATTTTTTTTGACATGTATGGAGAGCTAGTTAGTCAGGCTACAACGTCCAACAAGTTTGAAGTCCGTAGACCCAATACTAGTGGAGAAAATGGGACATAAGCAAGAATATTTTGCCCGAGTTTGTTTCTGTGTGTAAATTGCCATAGAGTAGGCTGTCCGGGCTTCACTCCGTGGTTTGTTTCATGCTATATCTCGTCTTGACGGTATCTTGTTATGAAAATTCCTGATTTTTTTGACATGTATGGAGAGCTAGTTAGTCAGGCTACAACGTCCAACAAGTTTGAAGTCCGTAGACCCAATACTAGTGGAGAAAATGGGACATAAGCAAGAATTTTTGCCCGAGTTTGTTTCTGTGTGTAAATTGCCATAGAGTAGGCTGTCAGCGGGCTTCACTCCGTGGTTTGTTTTATGCTATATCTCGTCTTGACAGTATCTTGTTATGAAAAATTCCTGATTTTTTTGACATGTATGGAGAGCTAGTTAGTCAGGCTACAACGTCCAACAAGTTTGAAGTCCGTAGACCCAATACTCGTGGAGAAAATGAGACATAAGCAAGAATATTTTGCCCGAGTTTGTTTCTGTGTGTAAATTGCCATAGAGTAGGCTGTCAGCGGGCTTCACTCCGTGGTTTGTTTACATGCTATATCTCGTCTTGACGGTATCTTGTTATGAAAATTCCTAATTTTTTGACATGTATGGAGAGCTAGTTAGTCAGGCTACAACGTCCAACAAGTTTGAAGTCCGTAGACCCAATACTCGTGGAGAAAATGGACATAAGCAAGAATATTTTGCCCGAGTTTGTTTCTGTGTGTAAATTGCCATAGAGTAGGCTGTCAGCGGGCTTCACTCCGTGGTTTGTTTAATGCTATATCTCGTCTTGACGGTATCTTGTTATGAAAAATTCCTAATTTTTTTGACATGTATGGAGAGCTAGTTAGTCAGGCTACAACGTCCAACAAGTTTGAAGTCCGTAGACCCAATACTCGTGGAGAAAATGGGACATAAGCAAGAATATTTTGCCCGAGTTTGTTTCTGTGTGTAAATTGCCATAGAGTAGGCTGTCAGCGGGCTTCACTCCGTGGTTTGTTTTATGCTATATCTCGTCTTGACAGTATCTTGTTATGAAAAAATTCCTGATTTTTTTGACATGTATGGAGAGCTAGTTAGTCAGGCTACAACGTCCAACAAGTTTGAAGTCCGTAGACCCAAACTCGTGGAGAAAATGGGACATAAGCAAGAATATTTTGCCCGAGTTTGTTTCTGTGTGTAAATTGCCATAGAGTAGGCTGTCAGCGGGCTTCACTCCGTGGTTTGTTTATGCTATATCTCGTCTTGACAGTATCTTGTTATGAAAAATTCCTGATTTTTTTGACATGTATGGAGAGCTAGTTAGTCAGGCTACAACGTCCAACAAGTTTGAAGTCCGTAGACCCAATACTCGTGGAGAAAATGGGACATAAGCAAGAATATTTTGCCCGAGTTTGTTTCTGTGTGTAAATTGCCATAGAGTAGGCTGTCAGCGGGCTTCACTCCGTGGTTTGTTTACATGCTATATCTCGTCTTGACGGTATCTTGTTATGAAAAATTCCTGATTTTTTTGACATGTATGAGAGCTAGTTAGTCAGGCTACAACGTCCAACAAGTTTGAAGTCCGTAGACCCAATACTCGTGGAGAAAATGGGACATAAGCAAGAATATTTTGCCCGAGTTTGTTTCTGTGTGTAAATTGCCATAGAGTAGGCTGTCAGCGGGCTTCACTCCGTGGTTTGTTTTTTGCTATATCTCGTCTTGACAGTATCTTGTTATAAAAATTCCTGATTTTTTTGACATGTATGGAGAGCTAGTTAGTCAGGCTACAACGTCCAACAAGTTTGAAGTCCGTAGACCCAATACTCGTGGAGAAAATGGGACATAAGCAAGAATATTTTGCCCGAGTTTGTTTCTGTGTGTAAATTGCCATAGAGTAGGCTGTCAGCGGGCTTCACTCCGTGGTTTGTTTACTATGCTCTCGTCTTGACAGTATCTTGTTATGAAAATTCCTAATTTTTTTGACATGTATGGAGAGCTAGTTAGTCAGGCTACAACGTCCAACAAGTTTGAAGTCCGTAGACCCATACTCGTGGAGAAAATGGACATAAGCAAGAATATTTTGCCCGAGTTTGTTTCTGTGTGTAAATTGCCATAGAGTAGGCTGTCAGCGGGCTTCACTCCGTGGTTTGTTTACATGCTATATCTCGTCCTTGACGGTATCTTGTT